CAAATCCAAGAACTGTAAAGCCAGAGGAGAGAAAACACTTCCCCTCCCACCTTCTCAATAAAAATCCCTGGGTGCACGTAGTTCAATTAAATTCATGGCTTAAACACAGTGTGCTTCTTAGCCACTTACGGTTGAACCACTTTCATAATTTACCAGTAAAATATAAGGTACATGATTGGAAGGATATAGTTTCAGCAGAAACCAAGAACCAGATGCACATAACCTTTAATGAGTATGCTCCTGGTCTGCACTGACCAGTTCTAGGCATAAGTGGCATTCTCCAGCAACTGCATTTTCTGGGTCACAGCTCTCCTTCAGATTCCCAGAGTTACAATTCTCATTTTCACGACTAGCAGAATACCATATGCTAAACTTGAGACAGATGAGCAGGGTATTATTCCTTTTTTTCTCCAACTTGCTAAAAATGTAAACATCGACATACTATTTGTCTTAGACTGTTTAAAGAAGAAGTGTATTTCTCATCTCCATTTTCAACCCACCTTGCCCCTGCCAAGCTTTTATATTACAATTTTCAAAATAGCTGCTTCTAGAATAGCTTTTAAGATCTTTCCCTCACTTAAAACCCTCCCTTTTCTGAGCATAAACATCAAGACAGGGTAGGATCATGCATTATATTTACCACTTAGTGGTTTTTTTAATTTCTTTACAGTCAGGCAGGACCGTCCTTCTTCCTTTCCACCTCCTGCTTTGAGAACTCCCTGCTACCCACACCCAGTGCTCAGCTCTCCTTAGTCCATCCGCCTCTTCCCACCTTATCTTTTTTCTGATACTCAGATGGGAACTAGGGACAGTCACGCTCGGAAAAAGGAAAACCTCTCCAAATCATTCCAGAGCTGTGGCCCCAGGTGTGGTACCGGCCTCCCCACACTGAACAGTGAGAGCGGCTGCGACTTCTGAGGCTGTGTTATAGACACTGCCGCTTCCGTCCTGCTCTCGGATCATTCACACGGGCAGGAGGCAGCCTGGCAGGAGACAGCTGTCGTGTCTCGTGTCCCAGGGACCCCCACGCAACCTGTGGAGCGGCCCCTGTGGTGAGGAGCTGAGGCCTCACACCACCAGCCAGCACTGACTTGCCAGCAACATGAGCTGAGCAAAACCACAGCCGAGCTGCTCCTGAATCCCTGACCCACAGAGACTTGGCGACCCATAAGCCTTTCCCACTGTCATAAGCTCTCAGACGCTGGGATATTGTCTTACACATCCATGGGGAATAACCTGGGTTCTCTAGGCACTTGGGGAATATAGGTCAGCAAACCTGACCAAAGCCAGCTAGGAAACACAAATGTACAGCTTTCGTGCCCCTGCCTCTTTGGTGGGCTTAGAGAATCTTTCAATGTGGGTCAGAGACAGGCGGCAGACAGTGGGCTGAGTTTGAGAAACGAAGTATAAGCAGGGCGGTGCCGGCTGGCTCGGTCAGATGGGACAGGCTACGCTAGCATGACACTCCAGAGAAACACAGCGCTCGAAATGTTCTTATTTAAAAACAAGCACGGCAGCACTTACGGAGATATCGTGATTTTAGTGTCTGTGTCTTGCTCGATTTTTTTAAGATTTCTTCCTTCCTTACCAATAAGACGGCCTACAAAGTTATTATGGGCTAAAATCTTCAAGGGAAGCTCTTCTGTGCTGTAAATAAATATAAAAAAAAAGGCCATGAAATCGGGGCAAGTAACCCTGCTCTCAGGGAAAAAGAGAGTATTTGTTCATTAAACATTTACTTCCTACCCACCACTTAGGAAGCATGATGCCAGGAGAGTTTGAACTGCCGACCATCAGCCACATTCTAGCAATGCGTGAACAGGGGGTAAAATCATTAATATGTATCTGGATAGAAGTTAATTTTTAAAAACGGTTTCCTTTTATTCATCTCAGGGACTACCTTCCAATGATGGATTCTGTTTAGCTTTGAAAACAGCTCCTACTCAAATTCTTGTTCCTAAATCCCCAACTCCAGAACACAATGTACAGATGCAAATAGTATGATTTTAGCATAAATTTTAAACTCCATACCTGGCAACACAGGCACAATTTAGACAAGGAAACAGGGAACTCAGCGGTATTACACTCTGGGGAAGAGTGTAAGAGCGGGGGGTGGGGGGGTGTCACATTTCATTTGCACCTTTCTGAATTTCCCAAACACATACCATTGTTTATAAACGTCATTGGGCCTGGCTGGTGTTGCTCAGTGGTTAAGCATTGACCTCTGAACCAGGAGGTCATGTCGTAATTCCAGTCAGGGCACATGCCCAGGGTTCGAGCTCAATCCCCAGTAGGGGGCATGCAGGAGGCAGCTGATCAATGATTCTCACTGATGTTTCTACCTCTCTCTCCCTCATTTCCTCTTTCTGAAATCAATAAAAATATATGTATTAAAATTGTTTTAAAATAAAAAAATAAAAACATGCCCTAGCCAGTTTGGCTCAGTGGATAGAGCGTTGGCCTGCTGACTGAAGGGCCCCAGGTTTGATTCTGGCCAAGGGCACATACCCAGGTTGCGAGCTCAATCCCCAGCGTATGGCGTGCAGGAGGCAGCCAATCAATGATTCTCTCATCTATCTCTCATCGCTCTCTCTCCCTCTCTGAAATCAATAACAATATATTTTAAATAAATAAATAAAAACACCATTGGGGTTTTGGGTGGTGGGCCTTTTCTTTATTGTTCTCTATATCAAAAAAAAAAAAAAGAATTAGAATCTTATAGCACCATATAACTAACCTTATAACTAAAATATATTTAATATATTTAAAGGTCCCTACAAATTAAATGCTGTATTAGGTCCCAGGCTAACTCCAGCACCTTACTCTGGATTCTGTTCTATACCCAGCACTGCGCTGAAGACTGAATGGAGCACAAAACCCAACCTCCACCCAAAGTTCTTGTGGGAAAGATAGTTAAGACTTCCGACCTGGAATATCCAAATAAATCCCCCGCTTATCTCAGCACAGGATTAGGGTTCCCACCTCAGGGAGCTCAAAGCCACGGCATGAGGACTTGGGCACTGCGGTGGGTAAATCCAGGGGTGCTCCTGGACTCCAGGTGGGCTTATGTCCCCCAGCCACCTTCTACAGCTGGACTGTCCTCACTAATGCCACTCACCCCACAGCCAAACACAAAGGAAAATATGTTAAGGACTTAGGCTTTACACCAAATCAACATGCCAACCCCCGGGCCTCCTGGGGCAGCAGCTCCCGGGGTTTGTTGGCAATCCCCCAAAACCGTGTCAATTCAAAGCAAAACAGCACGGACATCAATCTTTCCACGGGTTCACCCTCATTACTCACAATTTTATGTCTTGGGCCTCCTTATGCATAATCTCCAGAATAGACTTACAAGCCGCAGAGGTGCCTTCCGGGGTGGAGAGGATAGTAATGGACTTCTCAGCAGCGCCTGCGTTCTCTTTACGGTGGACATCGATCCTTAGGGTGGGTGAAGGGAGGGGAAAGCGAGGCTGTGAGGCACGCATTCACAGAGCGTTACAATGACCCACACCCACGTCAGGGCTCTGGGCAAGAGAGGAGTCACTTCCCTCAAGAGCATAAGCTCCCGATACACTGTCAACCGGATGCCTCAGAGAGGATTTTAATTCCGGGAACACTCCCCTCTCTCCTCACGCTGACCCAGCAGGGACCTGGTTTCATTCTGCCCAAGCTGCTACTGCTTCCGGCTCCCTTTTCGATGGCACAGAGCAAGCGTCTCCCATCGGAGAGCCTCGGTCCAGACAAGGGTTTTCTCCTCTGCTCTGAACCACACAGGACCTGGCCCTGGAGGGCGGGAGCTGGAGGCCCACAAACCAGATGGAACTCTTACTCCACGGTTTGCTCTCGCTGTCCATCGGATGAGCACATTCCACTCGCCCGTTTCCTTTCGCAAAGCTCACCCTGTATTTTGCCTCCTTCATAGAGGAAAGTCCACAACAAAACCTGAAGAGAAGGCAATTCAACTTCAAAGAAAAGCAAATGGCCAATTAATGCAATGTGTCAAACCTCACCAGTAATTATATACACACCAGTTAAAATAAGGTGTATTTTCTTCCAGACCTGCAATTATTTTGAGAGATAAAATTAAGTATTGGCAAGAGGATGGGGACTCTGGGCACACCCACACTTTTGGTGGGAATGTAGAACACCCTTGCAGGACCTATCAAAGCTAAAAAGCTTATCAACTTTGACTCAAGAATTCTACTTCTTGTAACATCTCCAGAGGCCGTCCCCCAGGTGTGTTGAGAGAGTGTTTTCACCGTCAGCACTGCTGTGGTGAAAGGGAAACTCTTTGCTATGGAAACTGTCCTGCACACTGCAGGGCTCAGCAGCATCCCTGGCTCAACCCACCAGATGCCATAGCTCATCCCTCGTCCCGTTGTGCTGACCAACAATGTCTCCAGACACTGCACGTGTCCACGGGGCTGAGCGGGTCACCCTGGGTGAAAACCACCAGCACAGAAACGTTCACTGCAGCATGATTTGTAGGAGAAAGAACACTGGGATTAACTTTAAAAGCTCACCAGGAAGAGATGATTAAATAGGAGTATACCCGACCTAGGGGGTGGGTAGGGGCTGGGAGGAGGAGGATGGAAGGGGGAAGATGGGAGATATCTGTAATACTATCAACAATAAAAAATATAATTAAAAAAAAGAAAAACTTCAGCATCAGGTAAATTAAACAAGCAAACAAATAATGAATGTATATCCATATCAGAGAGACGTTTAAAAACATGTGGTATAATTACAAATATCAACATTATGAGAGTCCCTGACCTTCTGTGAAAAAATACAATTCATACCATAAGATTTCTCCTTTAAAGCTACACTTGTTAGTAGATACCAGGAACAAACCCTATAAAGATACAACCCCAACTTAACAATGGCTACCATAGGGGGTAACATGAAGGGTCACCCTTTCCCCCCCCCCTCATTTGCATACGTGTTCATTTTGAATTAAATACAAAAATAAGAAGGGCCCTGGAGGCGGGGGCTGGGGAGACGTTCTAACACTATTGCGGGGTTGGATGGACCACAGCGGGGAGGGTTTGTGGGTGATGCCTGGGTCCCCCGCCCACTGAGGAGATGGATGAGGACGGGCTTCCTCTCATGGGGTCAGGCATTGACCTGACCAAGGTGCCAGCTACTCAACAGGAAAGAACGGCGGCATTTCTAAACCAGTTTGTGGTGCACACTGTGCAGTTCCTCAACCGCTTCGCCACAGTCTGTGAGGAGGAGCTGGCAGACCTTTCTCTTCGTATCCAGCAAATTGAAACAACTCTCAATATTTTAGATGCAAAGTTGTCATCTATCCCAGGCCTAGATGATGTCACAGTTGAAGTCTCCCCTGTAAGTGTCCCTGGAGTCACAAATGAAACCACTTCAGAGCCATCACAGCAGAACAGTTTACAAGAATCTGGACCACAGGAAAGTGAAGTAACAGCAGAAAATATCTTAACTGTAGCCAAGGATCCAAGATATGCCAGCTATCTCAAAATGGTTCCAGTGGGTGTCCCAGTGATGGCAATAAGAAACAAAATGATATCAGAAAGACTAGACCCAGATCTTCTCAAGAGGCCAGATGCTCCAGTGCCTGATGGCGAAGGTGAAAAAAATGCAGAAGAAAGTTCAGACAGTGAATCCTCTTTTAGTGACTAAGATTAACTTTCATAATAATTACAGATAACACGTGTAGAAGTACTTTACATCCTATCGGAAAGAGAGTCTGAACTTGACCTCTTTTTCAAAACAACATCAAGTGGCCAGATATTCACCACCAAGCTTCTTCAGTGCTAAAATTGTAATAATAATAAAGCATTTATAACCTGGCAAAAAAAAAAAAAAAAAGTCTGCTGTTGTTGAAAAGATACAAGAAAGAAAATCAACCATCCAAAAAACGGGGTTCAGTGAAATGAGACCTTCGTGAGTCCTTCTGGCCCCTCAGACACTAGAAGACAAAGAGCTGTGCAATTCCCCGTCGTGAGAACGGCCACTTCACCTTGCCAGTAAAATCGAGGTTTGGATTTCATTTTCCTAAATGTTGGCTGAAAACTGAAGACATATTTCAGAAGCAAAACCTATTGCTAAAAATAAGGGCAATGCAGAAATGAAACAAGTAAGAACTAACTCGAAATAACTAATTAAAACAGCACCTTAGACAGCACTCTCCTTCTCAGGCACCATTTTTCCAGCCACTATTTCAGAAATCCCCAGCCACCTCCAGCATTGCTTATCTTCTAGGAGGGGACACGGCAGACTCCCTCCTTCCAGGGCACTTCCACCCACTCACTGTGCTTGGGATCACTAGACTCTGATCCTCAGAGAGAAGGGTAACCCTCTGAGGCCGTGCCTGAAGCAGAGGACCCGATAACAACTAGTTTCAATGGCAAGAATTAATTGAATCCTCTGGATGTAACAAAAACTGCTTCCCTTCCCTCTCCATCCGCCATCCTCCATCCGGCATCTCCCTGCCTTAAATAAAACAGCTCAGTTTAAAGAAGCTCTTTCCTCTGACAAGGAAATGAATAGCATTAAAAAGACCCCTTCTAATCTGCCATGTGACGAGGAAGGCAAACCATTTCATAATGAGTTTCTGCAGGTAATGCTGAATCAAGGGAAGCAAGAAGCCCTTCCATTTTAGGATTAAAACCAGGCAAATTGAACATTAAAACTGATCTAGGCCCTGGCCGGTTTAGCTCAGTGGACAGAGCGTCGACGCATGGACTGAAGGGTCCTGGGTTCAATTCCCGTCAAGGCTTAAACCTCGGTTGCAGACTTGATCCCCATCCCTGGTTGGGGCAAGTGTGGGAGGCAACCAATCGATGTGTCTCTCTCACTCTCTCTAAAAAAATTCAATGTAACGTATCCTCAGGTTAGGATTTAAAAACAAACAAACAAAATACTGATCTAGGCTATGGTACCACTGTCTTCCCATCTCATACATGATGAGGTCAAGGGCCATTGATTCTGCACAAAGGTACCCAACACCATACGCCTCCTGCTTCAAAGCAGGGACGGCAGGGTCAGCCATCACTCTACAGGTGGAGTCCCCCCCCCCCCATCACAAACCCAGTTCTCTGGGGTTCTGCAGGAACAAGCAGCAGTTAGCTCAGTGCAGGCACGGTGCCTACAATGAATACGGATGTCCTCTGAAGCCTGCTGGAGCCAACTCAGCACCGCAGCTGCACTTTCAGGAAAAGTCTCCTGAACTCCTTGGACCACATGAAATGGAATCAATGTCCTTACTACATTTAAAAACCAAAATAATCCGCAGCCATCTCGTACCTGGCCCCAGGCCATTCCCCGGGCGCTTGGCAAAGAGCGACTGACCCCAGCGAGGTCTGTGTGCAGCCGCTTCTCCCTCGTACACCTGGCTCTTCGGGAAACGGCAGCAGCACCCCAGGATGTGCCCGGAAGCACTGCCCAGAACCAGGGTAGGGACAGGCCCATCCCAGCTTCTCAGGGTCAAAATAGCCACATATAGTATCACAGGTTGGTCAATAAAGCAAAGCAACTAATACACGATTCAGGGAGTCACATTTCACTCATCTGCCAAATACGAGAACCTCTCACATATCAGGCAGCCTGCTCAGCACAGTGGAAAATCATCACACACAGCTCTGCTTGCTGCTCCTGAAAAGTTAGCTCCAGGGTTTGGCCAAGAATCACCAAGTCCCTTCAACTCTGCAAGTGCAAACTCCCAACCAAGATGCTGAAGAACGAGCCATCCCAGCTACAGGGCATACTCATGGGATAAATCTGAACCATAGGCTGGATGATTCTTTACTCAAGTAAAGCAAGACTGAAAAACTACCTCTATCCTGGACCCAGAAAATTACTTCCAAAAACAAAAAGGTAGGTATTGCCGGGGGTTGGGGAGCAGAGAATAACCTAGAAGCTGCCCTTCTGTTTGCCAGGATCTTTCACATCGCAAGTGGATTAGGTATCATTTGCTTTCCATTAACATGTGAAAATTTGAGGTTCCCCTTTGAGACTGATATTTAGTCCCGTATTTGTATAAAATAAACACTAAGATATCAAAGTCGCAAGGTTTTGCCAGATTCCCAAGTACTGGCAGGGATCATGACCACGTTCACAAGACCGAGTACCATACAACACGCTGTTACTAAGATTCGGGGGAAACATTACCGCCCACCACACACTCGGAATACTCACTTAGATTGAGTCTGTTTGGTGATGTTCCGAATGGTGGCACCTTCTTTTCCTATAATGGCTCCAACGAACTGGGTGGGGACTAGCAGGCGTAGAGGCAGGTCACAGGGTTTCTGCTTGGACACCGATCCTGGAGAGCCCTGTCTCGATGAGCCCCTCTGCCCAAACCCGCGGCGGCCTCGGGGCTGCTGCGAAGCGTTCTGCTGGGAGGCCATCTCGTCCGGGATGTAGGCTACTTTCAACGTGAAGTTCTCCAGCTGGAATCCATTCAGTTTGTCTAACGCTCTGAAAGTTGACGAGGAGCAAGGGTGGGAAGAGAAATCGAACTTTATAATAAACCCTTCAGCAAAGCAATACCTATATCTCCTCCACTCAGGAGCATTGGCTCAAAATCTTCTGAATAAAAAGCCACAGAACAGGTAACCCAGAGCAACTTAACACCCTAACACCCCACCCCACCACACACACACACACACACATACACACACACACACACAAACCTGACAAGTTTCCAAAGGGAACATATTTGTCATCTAATGAAAAATAGAAAAAATTTGTCAAAATTCACATAAAACATTACATCAGTGTCAGGTGTACACATAAGGACTCGATAGTTGCCTATAATGTGAAATGATCACATCTGTCTGGCTAACATCTGTCATCGCACATAGTTACAGAATGTTTTTTTCTTGTGATGAGAATTTTAAGATCTCTCTCAGGAACTTTCAAATATGCAATACAGTTGTATTAACTCCAGTTAACAGGCTGTGCATCACACCCCCATGATCTACTTGTTTTATAACTGGAAGGAGTACCTTTGCTCCCTCACCCATTTGCCCACTGCTTATCTCAGATATCCACCAATCTAATCTATGAACTTGTGTTTGTTTGGGTGTGTGTGTGACTGGCTTTTTTTTAGACTCTACATGTGAGACCATATTGTGCTTATCTTTCTCTGCCTGACCTCTTCCTGACTTATCTCACTTAACATAACATCCTCAAGGCCCATCCACGTTACTGCATTGCCAGCATTTCATTCCTTTTCATGGCTGAATGCTATTCCGTTGTGTATATATACACACCAGGCTTTCTTTATCACTCATCCATTGATGGACACTAAGTTGTTTCCATATCTCAGCTACTATAAATAATGCTGCAATTGAAACTCTTCATTAAGCCATTAACCCAAAAGGTCAGTAACAGCGGAGGAGCCAGAGAAGGGAGTGGGCAGATCTCGTCCAGGCTAGTCTTTCCAAGTCAGAAGGGAGGAGATGTTGGAAATATGCACCTCCCTCGCTTCATCTTCTTATAAAATACAAACATTAGACAGCATAAGCTACACAGGACAGATCTCTCTCAAACTCTCACAGGAGATGGATAGGATTTGATACTCAGGATTATCACTCAACACATTCTCAGCACCTACCATGTGCCAGCCCCTACTATGCACCATCCCTGAGCAAACAGCAGCCCTGACCTTCTGGAGTTCATGGTCTGGCCTGGGGTAGAGAGGCAGGGTGATGATGGGCCAAACGAAGCTATTTTCTACCTTATCTATCTGCCCATCCGTGCACTTCTCTACTGTGAGAGGAGCCTTACTGCATTGTTTTGTTGTGTTTTTGTTTTTGTTTTTGTTTTTTTCATTTTGAATGTTACTATGGAAAAGTACCAAATCTTAAGAGTCCATCTCAATGAGTTTTCAGAAGGTCAGCCTGCAACCCAAATCCAGAGCAAGGATACACCAGCGCACCAAAGCCCACCAGTACCTCCCTAGACTTCAAATACCATAGACTGATTCTGTTTTAAAAGTCTAGGTAAATAAGTATATATTAGTACATATGTTATGTGCTCTCATGTCTGGCCTCTTTTATTTACCAGGCTTATAAGCTTTACTCAAGTTGTTGTTTTTTACCTCACTTAAGTATTTTAAAAGTGGAGAACGCAATAAAAAACGGACAGAGACGATATCACCAAGACACCAAAAGCAACACAAACACACTTTTCATAATACACACTCCCAAGTACACAACAAAATTAAAAACAAACAAAGGTCCCACGCTTTCCTAAGGTTACTCAGATTCTGTCCCAATGGGCTTTGAGTTCAGCCCCGGAAGGCAAAGACAGGCATGAAATGGTCTCTCCCTAGTTTGCTCAGTGGTCATTTCTGGTTCCCATATTGCTTTCCTTATGTGGAGATCTTTCTATTTTGACTTAGATGGAACAGGAGGGTGGCAAAGAGATGGCCCCACCACCAGAAAGGGCACCAAAAGGACGGAGCCAGAACTCAGGCCTGGACAGCCAGATGGAGCGCGTGTCCTGGGGACCCAGCCTCGGGCCCTCTTCTCCCTCGTCAACCCCCTTCCCTCACTGTCCCACAGAACCGAGGATGAATTCGTCACAATAGGTCCAAGAAATACAGAAACACAAAGAAAGGAGCAGGATATTTCTGCCACTAGCACCAACCCACCAAGACCCTTCCTGGAATCACTGCTGACCACCATAACTTCTGCAAACAGACCACTTCTTTCCCTGTTTATATCAAATGTATGTTCAGCATCTGACATAACTGGGATCATGATGTATGTAATTTGTGTTTTGCTTTTTTCCCAAATATACCTTGGGATGTTTCCATGTGATGTCTATGACAGAGGGCATTCTTTCCATAAGCTTAT